TTTTTTGAGATGGAGTTTCACTCTTGTTGCCGAGGCTGGAGTGCAAAGGTACAATCTCGGCTTCATGCAGCCTCTGCTTCCCCAGTTCAAGTGATTCTCCTGCTTCAGCCTCCTGAGTAGCTGGGATTGCAGGTGCCCACCACCACACCTGACTAATTTTTGTATTTTTGGTAGAGACAGGGTTTCACCATGTTGACCAGGCTGTTCTGAAACTCCTGGCCTCAGGTGACCCACTCACCTCAGCTTCCCAAAGTGCTGGGATTACAGGTGTGAGCCACCAAATCCGGCCTCAACCCCTTTAGATTCGTATTGCAAATAATGCCCCTTATCATGAAAGTATTATTTTTAATGGCTGCAGATTGCTTTCTATTAACATGAAAGTTTATTCACCCAATCTCATTATTGGGCATTGTAATAGACTTAATGTTTTATTTTTCCAGCTCTTTACACCAAAACATTTCCTATTGTAGTGATTTATTTGAATAATTTCCCTTTCCCAGCTCCATGTGGTTCTAAAAGGGTAGCCAATCACAGTACCCCATTTCCCTAGCCTCTCTACCTGGGAGAATGACCCAGGCCCTGCCTATCATACCCTCTGGCTACAGTGACTGAATCAGAGGTGAGCCAGTGAAAGAAGGAGGAACAGTCCTTTTTCAGGAATTTCTATAACATCGGCAAAAAATTCTGTCACTTGGGGTCATGGAGCTGAACGAATATGGCTTGAGGGCTCCCAGCTGCCATCCTCCCGAGGCTTGAGGAGAAAAGGAGCCAATCAGAGACAAGTACGCAGAGAGAAAGACTGGGAGGAGAGACCTCTGGCTGCACCAAGTCTCTAATCCCAAGCTATAAAGTCTTTCGAGTTACTCTGGTTCCACAAACACATTCCTCCTTTTGGATCCATTCGGGTTACCAGAAACACTTTTTTATTTAAGCTGTTTGGATATAGGTTGGTCATTGGTCCCAGAGAACATCCTCACTTTTATTTTATTTTATTTTATTTTATTTTATTTTATTTTATTTTAAGTTCTCACTGTCTCACTGTTGCCCGGCCTGGAGTGCAGTGGTGCAATCATGGCTCACTGCCGCCTTGAACCCCTGGGCTGAAGTAATCCTACCATCTCAACCTCCAGAGTAGCTGGGACTACAGGCATGTCCCACCACACCCAGCTAATTTTAAAGAAATGTTTTGGCCGGGTGCTGCGGCTCACGCCTATAATCCTAGCACTTTGGGAGGCCGAGGTGGGTGGATCACCTGAGGTCAGGAGTTCAAGACCATCCTGGCCATCATGGTGAAACCCCATCTTTTATTTAAAAAAAAGTAATAATAAAAATAAAAATAAAGAAATGTTTTGCATATACTGAAACTGACTTTGCAAAATTATAACTGAGGAAATTGTGACAGTGAAAGAAATCAGACCTAACTGACTCCATCTTGCTTCTAACCCTTAAGCTGTCCTTGTTTAGTCCTGGGTGTAGGCTAAACTAACTTTGGGAAGAAATTCGGTTCATGGTTTGACTCTGAAACAAAATTGATAACAGCCCTTTCCTGAAAAGACCCCCTTCTTGCCTGGGGTCCAATCTGTCTTTGCAGGACTCACAAATTAGCTACAAGATTAGAAGTTACAGTTTAGGGGTCATGTAGCCTCTGGCTCCAAGAGTCTGAACCTCCCCAAATTGCTCCTGGGAATAACATCTCTGTTGTAAAACCTAAAATCAGTAATTGAGTTATTTTGCAGACGCTGAACTCAATGGATCAGTTGACACCACACAGACCAATAATCTAGCCCAGCCAGTTCTGCCATCGCACCCAGGAACAAAAGGCATTAAGAAAACCCAACTTTGACGCTCTGTGATTCCATCTTCAACCTGACCAAGCAGCACGCCCCACTTCCCAAGCCAAATTATCTTAAAAAACTCTAATCCCTGAATGCGCAAGGAGATTGATTTGAGTAATAATAAAACTCCGGTCTTCCGCGCAGCCGGCTCGGTGGGAATTACTCTTTCACCATTTCAATTCCCCTGTCTTGATAAATCAGTTATGTCTAGGCAGTAGGCAAGGTGAATTCCTTGGGTGGTTACAAGACGGGGTCTCATACCCAGGCTGGTCTCCAACTCTTGGGCTCAAGCGATCCTCCAGCTTCTGACTCCCAAAATGCTGGGACTATAGGCGTGAGCCACCACACTTAGACTAATTTATATTTTAGGTGACTTCTAAGTATTACCATCATAAAGATGCAGTGAGCCTGGTGTGGTGGCTCATGCCTATAATCCCAGCACTTTGAGAGGCTGAGGTGGTCATTGAAGCTCAGGAGTTCAAGACCAGCCTGGGCAACATGGTGAAATCTCATCGCTATTAAAAATACAAAAAAATTAGCCAGGAGGGTTGTCGCCCAGCTGTGGTCTCAGCTACCCAGGCTGTGCTCCCAGGCTGAGGTAGGAGGATCTCTTGAGCCCAGGAGGTCAAGGCGGCAGTGGGCTGAGATTGTGCCACTGCACTCCAGCCTTAGTGACGAAGCGAGACTCTATCTCAAAAAAAAATAAACATAGAAAATAAAGAAAGAAAGAAAAGAAAAAAAGAAAGAACAGTGTGAAGAAACTCAACGTAGATATATTTTTGCATACATGCATGCTGTCCTTTTTCTCCTCATTAAGAAACATTTCCAGACCAGGAGTTGCTGAGTCAAAGAATAGGCAAATCTTAAAGGCTTTGATGTGTATTGTGAAATTGCCATGAGAAAGGTCATCCACACTCTATTTCCTCTAGGACTCTATGTGTGCCTGCTTCCATACAGTCACAACAATGCTGAGTAGTATTAATTTTTTTAAATTCCCAATTCGATAGAAGTTTATTGCTTTTCTTCTTCTTCTTCTTCTTCTTCTTTTTTTTTTTTTTTTTTT